TAAAGTGCTTGTGTTAAACAATAGAGGAGCTCCTAAACTCCTTATTTACTATGCTAAAACACTTAAGTCTGGGACTCCATCTAGATTCAATGGCAGTGGATCTGGGAGTGACTTCACTCTGACCATCAGGGGAGTCCAGGCTGAAGATGCAGGAGATTACTACTGTCAGAGTTGGCACTACATCAATAGTAAAGATGTGTTCACACAGTGATACAGAGTCATACAAAAACCTCCCTCAGTCAGACTGCACAGTGACTGTACTGCTACAGCTGGGACCTACTGCAGGTGCTGAGGGGAGGAGATGATCCTGTACAATGACCCAGTGTGTAGTAGAGCTGAACAACAAGAGTCAAACTAGAGCTGTGTCTAGAATACCTTAGATCATAACTGATCACTAAATGTTTCTCCTGACCGTTAACTACATGTTGACTCTGTTGAGTAACTCAAGGAAAACCATCAACCAATCTGTATAGAGATTATGTGCAATGATCAAAACCCCTAAAGATGACCTGTGTTTTGAATAGCTAGAATAGAATCAACATGATTCAAACACATACAATGAAGCCCTTAAACATTACCCATACATCCTCCCTCACACCACTGTGGTAGTTCCAGAGAGCAGCAGGAGACTGGAGACATCAGAGATCTGAAGATCTCCCCTTTAGACCAGAGTCAATCAGCAGCATCAGAGACTGAAGTTACTAACGCTGACCACTGGAGGGAGACAGAAAGCAGATACTATCTGGCCTAATTTGTATATATTTTTATATTTTTTATTTCACCTTTATTTAACCAGGTAAGTCAGTTGAGAAGAAGTTCTCATTTACAACTGCGACCTGGCCAATATAAAGCAATGCAGTGCAATAAAAACAACAACACAGAGTTACATATGGGGTAAAACAAAACATAAAGTCAAAAATACAACAGAAGATATATATATACAGTGTGTGCAAATGTAGCAAGTTATGGAGGTAAGGCAATAAATAGGCCATAGTGCAAAATAATTACAATTAGTATTAACACTGGAATGATAGATGTGCAAGAGATGATGTGCAAATAGAGATACAGGGGTGCAAATGAGCAAAATAAATAACAATATGGGGATGAGGTAGTTGGGTGGGCTAATTACAGATGGGCTGTGTACAGGTGCAGTGATCGGTAAGGTGCTCTGACAACTGATGCTTAAAGTTAGTGAGGGAGATAAGAGTCTCCAGCTTCAGAGATTTTTGCAATTCGTTCCTTTGATAATTTTAATTACACAGTAATAACAATATGCTCCATATTTAGATGTCTATAGTCAATATATCAGTCCCCATTCAGAACTTATATCAGAAACCATATCAGTGATTACATAGCTATCATGTTTCTACATCACATCAGTCTCTGTCCAGGAAGATTACTTACATGTAGGACACTTTACTGAATAATGGTGGATGGGGAGAAGACCAGAAGATTATTTGCATAGTGATGATGCTCTGCATAGACAGCACATGCTTCAGTGGTCTGGGAGTGTTTATAGCCCTGTGAGTTTAACACTTCATGACTGAGAGCTGTCCTTCATGACAACAGAACCCACAACAACCATGACTTTTATCACCGTCTTCATCTGGATATTTGCCCTCTGTCTCCAAGGTAATATATTTTACAGAAAATTACTTGGACAATTGCAATATTAGGCTATATAACCTCATTACAGTTTAATTTAATATGCTACAAGGAAAAATGTATTAACAATTGAATGCTATTTCTACATGACATCTCTTTTTCAGAATCCAGAGGCCAGTTCACTGTAACTCAGACCCCTGCAGTGAAAGCTGTTCTCCCAGGACAGACAGTCTCTCTGAACTGTAAAACCAGCAGTGATGTGCATGGTGCAGGAGGCTCTTCTCCCTATCTAGCCTGGTACCAACAGAAACCTGGAGGAGCTCCTAAACTCCTTATTTACTATGCTAAAACACTTCAGTCTGGGACTCCATCTAGATTCAGTGGTAGTGGAACTCATAGTGACTTCACTCTGACCATCAGTGGAGTCCAGGCTGAAGATGCAGGAGATTACTACTGTCAGAGTTTACACTACATCAATAGTAAATATGTGTTCACACAGTGATACAGAGCCGTACAAAAACCTCCCTCAGTCAGACTGCACAGTGACTGTACTGCTACAGCTGGGACCTACTGCAGGTGCTGAGGGGAGGAGATGATCCAGTACAATGACACAGTGTGTAGTAGAGCTGAACAACAATAGAGTCAAACTAGAGCTATGTCTAGAAGACCTTAGATCATAACTGATCACTAAATGTTTCTCCTGACCATTAACTACATGTTGACTCTGTTGAATAACTCAAGGAAAACCATCATCCAATCTGAAAAGAGATGATGTGCAATGATCAAAATCCCTAAAGATGACCTGTGTTTTGAATAGCTAGAATTTAATTAACATGATTCAAACACATACAATATAGCCCACAAACACTACCCATACATCCTCCCTCACACCACTGTGGTAATTCCAGAGAGCAGCTGGTGAAGCAGGAGACTGGAGACGTCAGAGCTCTGGAGATCTCCCCTGTAGAGCTGTCATTCAGTGGCATCACACGGTTCACACACAGACTGCAGTTACTGACCCTGACCACTGGAGGGAGACAGAAAACAGAGTGTCTGGTCTAATAACACATTTATAACGATATGCTCCATTTGTAGATGCCTATAATCATTATATCAGTCCCCATTCATTACTTATATCAGTGATTACATAGCTATCATGTTTCTACATCACATCACACAAGATTTATTAATAAGTCTGATTTTCAGGAAGACTATTCAAGCAAAAGGCCTGATTGGGTGTGGTATATGGCCAATATACCACGGTTAAGGGCTCTACTTATGCACGACGCAACGCGGAGTAACTAGGCATAGCCCTTAACTGTGGTATATTTGTCATACCTGTGGTACACGTCTCAAATACCACGTCTGTCAACCAATTAGCATTAAAGGCTTGAACCACCCAGTTTATAATGACATATAAGACACTTTGCTTTGAGATGATAAAAAATGATTGTAAGCCACTTAAACGAACTAAGGATCTGTCAAAGCTTAACCTCTCTCCTGCCACGCATGTCTGGAACCTTCCAGAACCTGCCCAGCATTTGATTGAGCCCAGATGAGGCTCGTTAACCAATCAAGGCCATGATTGGCTGGACAATCAGCCTCAACCTTTAAAATGCTTCTATTCCCACAGATCCCTTCAACGCCCAGTTGTTTTGAACGAGTGCGGAGGAGGACGAGGGGTTGACATTCTGTCGGACGGAAAAAGGAAGAAAGTGAAACATATTATGAATTAATATGGAGTGAGGGATTATTACTAGTCTTCCGGAAGATCTGGTGAAGGAGAAGATGATGGACTAGAAAAAAAGGAGGGACATGGAATATGTTTAGAGTAAATATGCAATGGAGGATCGCACAGAACTTTTGGAAGAGCTTGAGGAAGCAACATATCAGTCCCCATTCAGCACTTATATCAGAAATTATATTAGTGATTACATAGGTATCATGTTTCTACATCACATCACACAACATTTATTAACAATGTCTGACTGTCTTAGAATAATATTTACATATAAAACACTTTGTATTGGCAGCATATGCTTCAGTACTCTGGGAGTGTTTATATCCCTGTGAGTTGAACACTTCATGACTGAGAGCTGTCCTTCATGACAACAGAACCCACAACAACCATGACTATTATCACCATCTTCATCTGGATATTTGCTTTCTGCTTTCAAGGTTACCATTTTCAGAATTTGTTGTTGAACAATTATTTAATCTACACAAGTATAATGTATATTCATGTAATTATTTTATTCAGAACAATTGCTTAATATATGTGATATTCATTTCATATAAACGTTTTATTCTATTTTTCAGAGTCCAGAGGCCAGGTCACTGTGACTCAGACTCCTGCAGTGAAAATGTTTCTCCCAGGACAGACAGTCTCTCTGAACTGTAAAACGTGCAGTAATGTGTATCAAGCAGGTTACTCTGATGCCCGTCTTGCCTGGTATCAACAGAAACCTGGAGGAACTCATGAACTCCTTATTTACCATACTAAAACACTCCATCTATATTCAGTGGCAGTGGAACACAGGCTGAAGATGCAGGAGATTACTACTGTCAGAGTTTCCACTACCCCAACAGTGTCTGGGTGTTCACAGATACATAAACCTCCCTCAGTCAGACTGCACAGTGACTGTACTGCTACAGCTGGGACCTACTGCAGGAGCTGAGGGGGAAGAGACACTGACATGGAACACTGATCAGTAGAGGAGGTCAACTTTGAAAATGGTTAGAAAGTGTCACCATCATCATTATCATGGTTGTAACTTGTTATATTGTCATGAACTGAAAGTGTATATAAAAATGTATTAGAAGTTTTGGAACACATTACCAGTCCATATGCAGAGTAAGATCTACTGAAGTAAAAAGAAAAGTAATGTTAATTCAGCACAGACAGGGCTGGGTGGTTCTGCTTGTCCCAGAATAGAGCAGCACTGTCACCAGATATTCACTCTGTTCCCAGTGGGATGGAGGTAGAGAAGACCAGGGGAAATATAATGGAGAAGTGTAGACCACACATTGTTGAAAACCATTGCAAAAATATCTAATTTAATAAAATCATATTAGGAATTAAACATCATAAATATATATGTTATGGAAAGTAACTGTTTAGTAGTGTGAGTTCTGAGAGCAGATCTTAGGTTTATTATCAAATATCACTAATTATTATCACTGCTATTGGTGCTACAGTATAACAGGATCATTCAGTTGTAGAAATGATTGCAGAGTGTTTGTTGGATCAAATGCCATTTTAAGTATGTTTAAAAACATGAGAGTAGCTATATGCTACAATGCTGAAATTATAAATGAAGCTGATTGATATAAATTAGTATGAAGTGTTCTGCCTATTCATGTGATAGTGATCACTGGAATCATGATTAAATCAATTATTGGGTTATTTTCTAATCAAAACAAGCTTTATATGAACTCAGAGGCAAGAAGACATGTACAACATAATCTCAAAATACTTCATTTAGCACACAGTACTACTGATATTATTCACTATTATACTGTAACATTCAGCTCTAAAACACTAATGTTTCCAGAACTAGCACCATGTGGGTATTCTCTAGAATCCTACAATTGCTTCTCCGGTCTCTAGACACTATATTGACTTTTCCTGAAGGCGGCTGAATCACTGGTGTCGTCGTCGTGCAGGTGTACACCTCTCCATCTTCCCAGCGTGCCTTGCTCAGGGTCAGGGTGCTACTGCGGCTGAAGTGGCCACCCTTCTCTTCTTCTGTGGTGGTCAGGACCCCATCCTTGACCTCCGCCCCGTCCACCTCCCAGCTCACCATCGCCCCCAGGGGGGAGTAGACACTCAGCAGGCAGGCCAGTTTGGCCGAGCACCCAGAGAGTTACTCAGAGGACAGGAGGGAGCAGAGACACTGTGTGCCTGACAGAGGGAAGAGCTGGAGAAGAGGAGAGATGATAGAGGAGAGTCAGCTACTACTACTATTGTAGAATGGAATATATTAGGAGAGGAGAGGAGAGGAGAGGAGAGGAGAGGAGAGGAGAGGAGAGGAGAGGAGAGGAGAGGAGAGGAGAGGAGAGGAGAGGAGAGGAGAGGAGAGGAGAGAATACACACAGGATAAACAACTAGCTACAGTACTGAGAACTACCGACAACAACAAAACACTTCATCTATAAAGATAAAGGCAAAAATAAACTCTGAAAACAATTCTAGACAAAACAATTCATCAGATAAATGTATGTTACATTCATGCTCTACAGTTTAGCACACCAAGAGCAACAAAACACTAGGAGGGGGTTTACTGGACACAGATGAAGCATTGTCCTAGACTAAAAGCTCTTTCAATGAAGATTATCCAATTGAGTTTGCTTTTCAGTGCAGGACTAAGCTTAATGTGTCTGGCAAACTGCCCCTAATTCTACAAAGACATGCAGTAAACAGATACACTGCATTACCTCATCAGGTATATGCTTAAACATTACAAAGCACAACTGATCATTTACATTTACATTTTAGTCATTTAGCAGACGCTCTTATCCAGAGCGACTTACAGTTAGTGAATACATATTTTTTTATACTGGCCCCCCGTGGGAATCGAACCCACAACCATGGCGTTGCAAACGCCATGATCTATCAACTGAGCTACATCCCTGCCGGCCATTCCCTCCCCTACCCTGGACCAATTGTGCGCCACCCATGAGTCTCCCGGTCGCGGCCGGCTGCGACAGAGCCTGGATTCGAACCAGGATCTCTAGTGGCACAGTTAGCACTGCGATGCAGTGCCTTAGACCACTGCGCCACTCAGGAGCCCGATCATGACCTGGGGTTGTATATCCACAGCCTATTAAGGCTGAACGTATGTCATGTATGGTAAAATCAGCATCCAAAGAAGAGTCAACAGTATCCCTTTCTTATACACATTAACATGAGCATTTCAAATCTCACACCTACGTTGCTTTTATACTTCATCCAAAGTAACCCCACTATGTACACTAGTAAATGTCTTCCCTAACAAGTCAGCTTTTTCTTTATCATTTTTTGACCCACAACCAAAACTGGAATTCGAGTGGACTTGCTTCTTCCGGTCATCTTCTTCAACATAGACCATACATCCCCCAGCTCAGTACCCCTGCCTATTGTAGAGCAGAACTGCCTCCATGCATTTCTCTTGACAGACTTAATGACCCTACGTACTAAAGCTCTCTTCCTTTGGAAATCAATTAGATTCTCAGGAGTCATATTCCTACGCAACACTCTGTAAGCCCTATTTCTTTCTCTAATAGCCGCAGTGCACTCTTCAGTCCACCATGGAAACACCTTCCTTTTCTCACCCACTTCACTCTCTGGTACATACACATTTGTAGCACTCAAAATCAGTGATGTCACAGAGAAAGCACATACATCAACCAGCCTCTCTAAAGACAACTGTCCAACATTTAAGCAATGATCACCAAATTTTCCCAGTCTGCATTATGAAAGCACCATCATCTGAACGGTACCCTATCTGGAGTAGTAACATCAAAGTTCATGGTACACGAAATTGGAAAATTACCACTTCCAACAGTAGAATCATCCATTCCATTCACACATAGATGCAATAGAGTTAGAAGCCAGCGAGGTCCAGGCAGGATGTAACCCCTCTAACAACATAAACTCTTGTACTACATCCATCGTTAAGACATATGCTCTTGTTTCCATCATATCTTCCACAATAGTACCATCAGCATCAGTATGTGTGCTTCCCCATAAACTATTATGTGCATTAAAGTTGCGCACCATATCTCTCTAGAGCCCATTTCTCCTGATATTTCATCAAACATCGCTACAGACAGTTGTAAAAATTGTGCAACTTAATATTACTACCTGCAATGTATATTTCCACCATCACACATTCATATTCAGATGGGACAGGTATATTACGATATACAAGACCTTCTCTTATGAACATAGTACAAATACCACCCTGTCCAGTTGATCTATCGGATCTGATTGAACAATAACCAGGAATAATCAAGATGTGGTCTAAGCCACATCAGGTTTAATCTCTAAATCAATTATATATTTCTTAAACACCTGATCGTTAGTACAACACCTCATTCCTGCCACGCCCTGCTATCTTCCAGCACCTTCATAGTCTTTAATTGATTCTAGCTGAGGCTCATTTACCAATCAAGGCCATGATTGGCTGGACAATCAGCTCTCAACCTTTTTAAAGGTCAGCTGCTCACACATCTCTTCAACGAGGGGAGAGATGGTGGAAGAAGAAGTAGTGTCATTTGAAGCTGAAAGCGTGTTGAGTACAGTTAGTGAGAAAGATGAGTGGACAATAGTGAAGTCCAAGAATGGAACAGAAAGGGCTAAAATTGTTGTGGAAAATGAGTCTGATGAATCGTTCCTGTCACGTTCGTTTAAGGACGGGTCAGACCAAGGCGCAGCGTGAAAGGCATACATGTTTATTTCACCGATAAACACACGAACAAAACAACAAACCAACGAAACGTGAAGTCCTAAGGCTAAACACAATACAAGCCTCTAACACGGAACAAGAACCCACAACTAATGATTGTAAACAGGCTGCCTAAGTATGATCCCCAATCAGAGCCAATCAGAGACAACGAGCGACAGCTGTCTGATTGGGAATCACACCCGGCCAAACATAGAAATACAACACCTAGACTGAGAACATAGAAAATACAACATAGAACTCCACACCCTGACTCAACATACTAGAGTTTCATACGTCAGGGTGTGACAGTTCCTTGTTGGAGTACATTTTTTGGATAAAGATGTTTATTTGGGAAACCCTTTTGAAGTCAGAGGATGGTGAAGAAGGCATTTGGAAATGTGGATGCAGTCAAAGTAACCAGGAGTGGTATGGTGTTGATATCATAGTAACCAGGAGTGGTATGGTGTTGATATGGTGTGTATCTAAAGAGCAAAAGGAATGTGCATTGTAGCTCGCGAAAATATCAACGCATGAAATGAACAGCTTTGGTTTTCGGAGCAGGAAACCAGTAAAAGGTGTTATTTCTGGCGTCCCGTTGGACATTGATAATCAATATCTTAGGCAAAAAATTCCAGGAGTAGTTAATGCACGTCGCTTGACCCGTATGGAGAATGGGAAAAAGGAGCAAAGTTTATCTGTATTATTGATGTTTGATGAGTATTTACCACCCTATGTAAAGTTGGGATATAAGATACGCTGTAAGAGCATTCGTGCAAAACCCGAAGCAATGCAAAAAGTGTAAAACGTTTGGCCATGTGTCAAGTGTTTGCAGATGGAAGGAATATGTTATTGAAGAGTCTGTGAATGTAAAATGTTTCAACTGTGGCGGGGATCATAATTCTGAATACCCTGAGTGTTCTGTTAGGGTGAAAGAGGTTGAGGTGTCAAGGATCAGGGCTGTACAGCAAATCTCCTATGTGGAGGTGGTGAAGAGCATTGAAGGGGCAAGAGGCCTCAGTTCTGAAGAAGATATGGTGGTGGATGCACCACAACCAGTTGCAAATGTTATACTTCAATCAAGTAATCTGGATACACTTATTGTGAAAAAGGTGTATTTTGTAGCATTTATAGCCACAGTTATTAATTGTACTGCACAAGTGTCTAAGAAGCTGGACATCATTATATCTGCAGCCGAGTGGTTATCCCACTGGCTATGTGGTTATCCCACTGGCTATAAGGTGAATGCACCAATTTGCACCAATCCAGTCACTCTGGATAAGAGCGTCTGCTAAATGACGTAAATGTAAATGTAAATGTAAATGAGAAGACTTAACAGCAGAAGCACTGCAAGGACTATTGTCGCCAGGAAATGTCCCGCCATCACAGGATCCTTCTGAGCCTGTGTAGGGATCTGATTAAAACACATTTCGTTTTGATTTAGTTTAATTAACATTTCATTACAGATAGTTGTGTGGATTTTAAAAAATATATGTATTTATTTATTTTTTACCCCAAATTTTTTTCCTTTTGGGATCCTTATTACCCACGTGTACAGTAGGTGGCGGAATACACATAATTGTTGCGAACACTATTATACCAAAGAAGAAGATCTCTTCAACTACAGTTTCTCTGTGGGACCATGAAAGTCTGTTTGGTTAGAGAGGACACGTTGCATTGCCAGCACATGCTTCAGAGGTCTGGGAGTGTTAATATCCCTGTGAGTTTAACACTTCATGACTGAGAGCTGTCCTTCATGACAACAGAACCCACAACAACCATGACTTTTATCACCATCCTTATCTGGACACTTGCCCTCTGCTTTCAGGAAAAAGATTTTGAGCTTAGACATTACACACATCGTAACCATAGAATTAGGAATTAGAATGTGATGTCAGTAACTGTCAATGCCTATATTTAGTAATACCCATATTTTATGTCATCTATTAAATGGTGGTTTATTCATTGTAAGAAAGTCCCCCTCCCTGAATCCACTATAGAGGTTAGAGTAAAACCAGTCCACTCCCTCACATCTGGCCCAGTCCAGGGTATTTCAGGCAGTGAAACTGTTCAACTGCTAGACTGGTATCTGTGGGAGTGAAACTGAGATTTACATTGACAGGGCTGGGTGGTTCTGCTTGTCCCAGAATAGAGCAGAACTGTCACCAGATGTTCACTCTGTCCCCAGGGGGTTGGAGGTGGAGAAGACTGTCACTACACTATATAACAGCGTTTCCCAAACTCGGTCCTCTGGACCCCAAGGGGTGCACGTTTTGGTTTTTGCTCTAGCACTACACACCTGATTCAAATAATCAACTAATCATCAAGTTATGATCATTTGAATCAGCTGTGTAGTGTTAGGACAAAAAACTAAATGTGCACCCCTTGAGGACCGAGTATGGGAAACGCTGCTATATCTTGAAGTAGTGCCACTTGTAATATTTGTAATTTGTAATTTTTTATTTTTGCTTCAAATCAAAGCCTATAACACATGTGAGAGTCCAAGATATCGGTTGACTGTTTGATAGTTCTTATTTTATTACTATAAAGTCTGTCAAGTCAAACACGTCTGACACAGACTCAGTATCCTGATGAATGAAGACAGTCAACTACTACCATAGCAGAACCTCTTCTATTATATCATATTATATTGTGATAGTATGAAATACTGGTCCATTATGATGTTAGAGTGAGTTTTAGACTTGACAGTTTTTAAAGACACCATTAATCAGCCTTACTGAATACATATTTTTCCAGAATATTGCAAATATACAGTATCTATGATCCAGTTTATTAATAAAAACAACAGAAATATACCTTCCAAAAAGAAATCTTTATTTTAATCCATTATCACACAATCGAAGCATCAAAGCAAACATGATAGTGAATAAAAGCAGATCACATCAAATCTAAAACTAACAACATTTCAATCTACAGAATGGATTGACACATGAACTCAAGCCAAGCCCCCTGTTAGTCTACACCAGAGTGACCACTATATTGAAGAGCGACTGATTTTAAAACGAAGCAAGTCAAAGCAGAGGAACCAGTATCCTCTCTCCACAGGGGTGTGTGACAGAGGGGTCCTACCCAGAACAGTCAGCCCTCCTCAGGGTCTTGGTGACTGGAGTCTGGGATTTCTGCTGGGCTTCACAGGTCACCTCTCCTGCCTTAGTCCACTCCTGGGCAGTGAGAGTCAGTGTGCTGCTCCAGCTGTACAGACCGTCCTTCTCCTGGACCCCGGGACTGGCCTCCTGCTTCTTGCTGGTCCCGTCCACTTTCCAGCTCATGGTCCAGTCTGAGGGGAAGCCCTTGTTGGCCAGACACGTCAGTGTGGCTGTTGTTGTACTGGACAGCTCCTCACTAGAGGGGGGCAGGACGGTGAGGGTGGGGACTCTGTTACCTGGAACAAACAGAACACATCAACTAAGTAACTACATCAAGTACAGTTACAGTAAGAAATTATATTCAGCAAAGTACACATCACAATGAAGGGAATTGGAAATGCCCTCTAAATATGAATGTAAAAGTTAGATTGGTAAAAGATGTGGATAAACACAAACTGTAATATGATAAAGCAGATTAATGAACCGAACAAGTATTAAATAAGTAGAGTTACAAGTCATACAGCATCAGTTATACATGTCATACAGATATTATTTAGGAATGGATCTGATCAGAATAGCCTTGCCATATTCATAGTATTTGCAGAATTTGAGCATAGATTAGTTTTAATCACATATCAACCATGTTAGTTCATGAAGTCTGTTACAAACATAACTGAGACCCTTTGTCTTCACACTAACAGTGAAGGCTACCATGAACTTAATGCAACAATAATGACTACTATATCCAATGCTATTAAATAGTCATCATACCAGAATTAAGAGTTATATTCTGCAATCATACAAATCAGACATACAAATAAACCTGCAATTTAACATTTTGATTTTAAAAAATGTTATTTGAAAGAAGGCTCAGTAAAAAGCAATTAAAACATTTTGAAAATCTAAAATCACAATATTCTCATAGAGACAGAGTGTAAGAATAACATACTTAATAAGTGTAATCAGAAAGAAATATCAAGTGAGCTTGTTACTTACTTCCAACATCTAGTCTGGTGCCGCTACCAAAAGTGACCCACAGTGATACAATCCCTATTACTGCTGGTACAAAAACCTCCTGAACATCGGCCAAGCTGAAATTCTTTGGACTGTGGTTTAAATAAGTGACTCTGATATGTTATGAATACTTGCCAAAGATGATTTTATCTTGTTCATTTGAAATGAAGTATTTTTTGTTTTGTTTTGCCCCCAAAATTGCAAAACCTGTTTATTGAACATTTCCTACAAGGTACAGTATGTTTATTCATACACCTAATCAAATGTAGGCTAATCACTCTCATCGTTTAAAGGCAGGTCAAATTTAATTAGATGTAATGACATACTAATTAAAATTGGCCATATTATGTGTAGGCTTTGTATTATTCCCCCCAAAATCATGTAAAAAAAAAGTATGTTAAAAAATCCTCAATATCAAGGCTAGATTTATAGAGATATTGAAACACAACATCAAAAGCTGAATAAAACAGTTAATTTTGTTGTTTACTTACTTCCAACATCTAGTCTGGTGCCGCTACCAAAAGTCACCACAGTGATACAATCCCTATTACTGCTGGTACAAAAACCTCTCTGTGTTGTCAAGAGCAAATGCAAAACAAAACACGACTCGTGACGTCCACGGTATCAATGACCGAACACGGAACAAAAACCCACCAACCCAAAGGGAAAACATACATTTTAAATATGGCTCCCAATCAGAGACAACCAGCCTACAGCTGACACTCGTTGCCTCTGATTGGGAGTCACACAGGCAAACATAGAAAAACACAACCTAGAACACCCAACATAGAAACAGAACACATAGAATGAACACACCCTGGCTCAACATATAGAGTCCCAGAGCCAGGGTGTGACAGTACCCCCCCCCTAAAGGCGCGGACTGCGACCGCGCCTCAACTAAACAAACCAGGGGAGGGCTGGGCGGGCATACCTCCTCGGCGGCGGTTCTGGCTCCGGCCTTGACCACCACCCTCCAATACACCCCCCATAGTGCCCCTGGTCCAGTCTGGCCCCGCCGGCTGGAGCAGGACTGGACTTAACAGGAGCGATCCTTACCAGGCTGTCGACTCGCACCCCTGGCTTGGTGCGTGGAGGAGGAACGGGCCTTACCAGGCTGACGACTCGTACCCCTGGCTTTGTGCGTGGAGGAGGAACGGGCCTTACCAGGCTGACGACTCGCACCCCTGGCTTGGTGCGTGGAAGAGGGACGGGCCTTACCAGGCTGACGACTCGCACCCCTGGCTTGGTGCGTGGAAGAGGAACGGGCCTTACCAGGCTGACGACTCGCACCCCTGGCTTGGTGCGTGGAAGAGGGACGGGCCTTACCAGGCTGACGACTCGCACCCCTGGCTTGGTGCGTGGAAGAGGGACGGGCCTTACCAGGCTGACTTCTCGCACCCCTGGCTTAGTGCGAGTGGCAGGAACAGGCCGGACCGGGCTGGCGACGCGCACCGTAGGTTTGGTGCGAGTGGCAGGAACAGGCCGGGTCGGGCTGGCGACGCGCACCGTAGACTTGGTGCGGGTGGCAGGAACAGGCCGGACCGGGCTGGCGACGCGCACCGTAGGTTTGGTGCGAGTGGCAGGAACAGGCCGGGTCGGGCTGGCGACGCGCACCGTAGACTTGGTGCGGGTGGCAGGAACAGGCCGGACCGGGCTGGCGACGCGCACCGTAGGTTTAGTGCGTGGAGCAGGGACAGGCCAGGCTGGGTTGTCGACGCACACCGTAGGCTTGGTGCGTGGAGCAGGGACAGGCCGGGCTGGGCTGTCGACGCACACCGTAGGCTTGGTGCGTGGAGCAGGGACAGGCCGGACTGGGCTGGCGACGCACACCGTAGGCTTGGTGCGTGGAGCAGGGACAGGCCGGGCTGGGCTGTCGACGCACACCGTAGGCTTGGTGCGTGGAGCAGGGACAGGCCGGACTGGGCTGGCGACGCACACCGTAGGCTTGGTGCGTGGAGCAGGGACAGGCCGAACCGGGCTGTGGAGACAGATAGGAGGCCTGGAGTGAAGAGCGACCACCACCCGTCCTGGCTGAATGCCTACCCTCACACACTCTGTGTGACGCATCCGCACAGGACGTACAGGGCGGTGTACCCCTGGCCTGGTGGCCTTCTGGATCCGCCCCCTTTTCTCCTCCGTCAGCCCCGTCGTCCATGCCGTGTGCCCCCCCCTAAAAATTTTCTGGGGTTGCCTCACGACCGTCCGACGACGACCCTGATCACGCCGTAGCTCCTCTCTACGGCGTGCCTCCACCGTCTCTTCTCCCGACGCTTCCTCCCATGTCCAGCCCAAGAGCTGCCCCTGGACACGCTGCTTGGTCGTTGCATGGTGGGTTTTTCTGTCAAGGTCGAGGTAAGGAGTAGACCAAGGCGCAGCGTGATGAACAAACATGACTTTAATTAGTTAAAGCGTCAAAATGCAAAACAAATCACGACTCGTGACGTCCACGGTATCAATGACCGAACACGGAACAAAAACCCACCAACCCAAAGGGAAAAACATACAGTTTAAATATGGCTCCCAATCAGAGACAACCAGCCTACAGCTGACACTCGTTGCCTCTGATTGGGAGTCACACAGGCAAACATAGAAAAACACAACCTAGAACACCTAACATAGAAACAGAACACATAGAATGAACACACCCTGGCTCAACATATAGAGTCCCAGAGCCAGGGTGTGACATACTGGGAACATAACTTAAAAGCAGTCTGACATGTATTGGGGTGGACAATCGTGGATTGATTTAAAAACCAATCTTAAAATTAATTCTAAAACTCACAGGCAGCCAGTGCAGAGATCTTTAAAGCGCTGTAATGTGTACTCTACGTCTGGTCTTGATCAGTACCCGTGCTGCATCATTCTGTATGTTTTGCAGTTGACCAATGGCTTTCATGGGTAGACCAGACAGGAGAGCATCACAGCAGTCAAGCCTGCTTGTAATGAAAGCATTGATGAGTCTCTCTGTATCAGCCTGAGAGAGAAACGTCCGCATCTTGGAAATGTTCCTCAGGTTGTAAAAAGCTATTTTGGTCACATTCCTAATGTGTGATTCAAAATTTTGTTCTGAATCTAAAATAACACCTAGGTTTTTTTACCTAGTGTTTTATCTTTATTGCCCGTGAATTAAAATGTTTGGCTAGATTCTCTCTCTGTGCTTTGGGTCCAACAATAAGTACCTCTGTCTTGTCTTGATTTAGCTGGAGGAAGTTATTTTTAAATAAATAAAAATTAACACACATTTTACCTTTATTTAACTAGGCAAGTCAGTTAAGAACAAATTCTTATTTACAATGACAGCCTACACAGGCCAAACCCAGACGACGATGGGCCAATTGTGCACTGCCCTATGGGACTCCCAATCACGGCCGGTTGTGATTAAGCCTGGAATCGAACCAGGGGATCTGTAGTGACGCCTCAAGCACAGAGATGCAGTGCCTTAGACCACTGCACCACTCGGGAGCCCAAGTTGTGAGCCATCCAAGTATTTAAATAACTAATACAGTCTAATAATTTATCCATGAAGTTGAAATCCTCTGGTGACACAGAAATGTAAAGTTGAGTATCGTCTGCGCAGCAGTGAAAATCAATGCTGTGCTTTCTGATAACGGTTCCATATGGTAACATATGTAAACTGAACAGTAACGGACCCAAAATCGAGCCTTGTAGAATGCCAACTGTGATTTGTATTTTCTTTTAACTATGTTCACCAAGGGTGTCAAAAAACTCTCGACCGGTTAATTAGGTCCTAAACCAATTTAGAATTGGACCGGAGAGGCCAACCCACCTCTCCAGTCTGTCCAGAAGGACATCATGGTCAACAGTACAATAGGGACTGATAGTACTGAAGTACTAGTATAATACAATAGGGACTGATGGTAATAAAGTACTAGTATAATACAATAGAGTATAATACTAGTAAACTCCTTATTTACTATGCTAAAACACTTCAGTCTGGGACTCCATCTAGATTCAGTGGTAGTGGATCTGGGAGTGACTTCACTCTGACCATCAGTGGAGTCCAGGCTGAAGATGCAGGAGATTACTACTGTCAGTTTCCACTATCCAAATAGTATATATGTTTTCACACAGTGATACAGAGCCATACAAAAACCTCCCTCAGTCAGACTGCACAGTGACTGTACTGCTACAGCTGGGACCTACTGCAGGTGCTGAGGGGAGGATATGATCCAGTACAATGACACATCAACCAATCTGAATAGAGATGATGTGCAATGATCAAAACCCCTAAAGATGAACTGTGTTTTGAATAGCTATAATTTAATCAACATGATTCCAACACATACAATATACCACTTAAACATTACCCATACAGCCTCCCTCACACCACTGTGGTAGTTCCAGAGAGCAGCATGTGAAGCAAGAGACTGGAGACGTCAGAGCTCTGGAGATATCCCCTGTAGAGCACAGTCAATCAGCAGCATCACATATTCAACACATAGACTGCAGTTACTAACCCTGACCACTGGAGGGAGACAGAAAGCAGATACTATCTGCTCTAATAACACAGTAATAACAATATGCTCCACTTGTAGATGTCTAAAGTCATTATATCAGTCCCCATTTAGCACTTATATCAGAAACCATTTCAGTGATTACATAGCTATCATGTTTCTACATCACATCAGTCTGACTGTCCAGGAAGACTACTTACATGTAGGAACTTTACTGAATAATGGTGGATGGTGAGAAGACCAGAAGATTATTTGCATAGTGATGATGCTCTGCATAGACAGAACATGCTTCAGTGGTCTGGGAGTGTTTATAGCCCTGTGAGTTTAACACTTCATGACTGAGAGCTGTCCTTCATGACAACAGAACCCACAACAACCATGACTTTTATCACCATCTTCATCTGGATATTTGCCCTCTGTCTCCAAGGTAATATATTTTACAGAAAATTACCCGGACAATTGCAATATTAGGCTATATAACCTCATTACAGTTTAATTTCATATGCTACATGGAAAAATGTATTAACAATTGAATGCTATTTCTACATGACATCTGTTTCAGAATCCAGAGGCCAGTTCACTGTGACTCAGACTCCTGCAGTGGAAGCTGTTCTCCCAGGACAGACAGTCTCTCTGAACTGTAAAACCAGCAGTGATGTCTATAGCAATAACCGTCTAGCCTGGTACCAACAGAGACCTGGAGGAGCTCCTAAACTCCTTATTTACTATGCTACAACACTTCAGTCTGGGACTCCATCTAGATTCAGTGGCAGTGGATCTGGGAGTGACTTCACTCTGACCATCAGTGGAGTCCAGGCTGAAGATGCAGGAGATTACTACTGTCAGAGTTGGCACTATCCCAACAGTGTCTGGGTGTTCACACAGTGATACAGAGCCGTACAAAAACCTCCCTCAGTCAGACTGCACAGTGACTGTACTGCTACAGCTGGGACCTACTGCAGGTGCTGAGGGCGAAGAGACAGTGACATGGAACACTAGATGAAGTCAACTGTGACATGTGAAAATTTGGTTAAAAGGTAATCATTCAGTTCACATGACCATCATCATCATCATTAACATCATCATCATCGTTATAACTTGTTATATTTGTCATGGCCTTTAAGTGTATATAACATGTATTTGATGTTTTGAAACCCATTTTCTGTCAATATGTAAAGCAAGATCTACAGATGTAAAACAAAAGGTGTTCTAACCTCAACATTACTTCAAAGTTACAATCACTTCAGCCCCCCAAAACAAGTTCCAAAATGGACCTCAACCAAACGTGTGATTTAAATTGTGATCTTCTAGCATTATATTAACTGTTTTCATGAGCAGGTTACTGACTGTTATATCTGTGAATTAGACATGATGCTGGGTTCAAACATGAGACACATGTACACTACATACACTATCTACGTAAAGTATAATATCAATTTTATCTGTCATTAATTACATTGTAGCATATCTGTTATGAGTCCCTCCCTGAATCCACCTTAGAGGTTAAAACCAGTCCACTCCCTCACATCTGGCCCAGTCCAGGGTATTTCAGGGAGTGAAACTGTTCAACTACTAGACTGGTATCTGTGGGAGTGAAACTGAGATTTACATAGACAGGGCTGGGTGGTTCTGCTTGTCCCAGAATAGAGCAGTACTGTCACCAGATGTTCACTCTGTCCCCAGGGGATTGGAGGTAGAGAAGATTGTCACTACACTATATAGCAGCGTTTTCCTAACTCGGTCCTCGGGACTCCAAGGGGTGCACGTTTTGGTTTTTGCTCTAGCACTACACACCTGTTTCAAATAATCAACTAATCATCAAGTTATGATCATTTGAATCAGCTGTGTAGTGTTAGGACAAAAATCTAAATGTGCACCCCTTGAGGACCGAGTATGGGAAACGCTGCTAAATCTTGAAGTAGTGCCACTTGTAATATTTGTATTTTATTTTTTATTTTTTTAGCTTCAAATCAAAGCCTATAACACACGTGAGAGTCCAAGATATCGGTTGACTGTTTGATAGTTCTTCTTTTATTACTGTAAAGTCTGTCAAGTCAAACAGGTCTGACACAGACTCAGTATCCTGATGAATGAAGACAGTCAACTACTACCATGGCAGAACCTCTTCTATTATATCATAATATATTGTGATAGTATGAAATACTGGTCCATTATGATGTTAGAGTGAGTTTTAGACTTGACCGTTTTTAAAGACACCATTAATCAGCCTTACTGAATACATATTTTTCCAGAATATTACAAATATACAGTATCTATGATACTGTTTATTAATAGAAACAACAAAAATATGCATTTCAAAAAGAAATATTTATTTTAATCCATTTTCACACAATCGAAGCATCAAAGCAAACATGATAGTGAATAAAAGCAGATCACATCAAATCTAAAACTAACACAATCTCAATCTACAGAATGGATTGACACATTAATTCAAGCCAAGCCCCCTGTTAGTCTACACCAGGGTGATCTCTAAATCAGAGAATTACTGATTTTAGAACAAAGCTAGTCAAAGCAGAGGAACCAGCATCCTCTCTCCACAGGGCTGTGTGACTGGGGGGTCCTACCCAGAACAGTCAGCCCTCCTCAGGGTCTTGGTGACTGGAGTCTGGGATTTCTGCTGCGCTTCACAGGTCACCTCTCCTGCCTTGGTCCACTCCTGGGCAGTGAGAGTCAGTGTGCTGCTCCAGCTGTACAGGCCGTCCTTCTCCTGGACCCCGGGACTGGCCTCCTGCTTCTTGCTGGTCCCGTCCACTTTCCAGCTCATGGTCCAGTCTGAGGGGAAGCCCTTGTTGGCCAGACACGTCAGTGTGGCTGTTGTTGTACTGGACAGCTCCTCACTAGAGGGGGGCAGGACGGTGAGGGTGGGGGAACTGTTACCTGGAAGAAACAGAACACATCAACTAAGTAACTACATCAAGTACAGTTACAGTAAGAGATTATCTTCAGCAAAGGACACATCAAAATAAAGTGAAATGGAAATGCCTTCTAAATATGAATGTAAAAGTTAGATTGTTTAAAAGTAATATGATACAAAGCAGATTTATGAACCAAAGTGGTTAAATAACTAGAGTTACTAGTCATACGGTGTCAGTTATACATGTCATACAGATATTGTTTAGGAATGGATCTGGTCAGAATAGCCTTCCCATATTCATAGTATTTGCAAAATCTGAGCATAGATGAGTTTTAATCGCATATCAACCATGGTAGATCATGAAGTCTGTTACAAACATAACTGAGATCCTTTGTCTTCACACTAACAGTGAAGGCTACCATGAACTCAATGCAACAATAATGACTACTATATCCAATGCTATTAAATAGTAATCATACCAGAATTAAGAGTTATAGTCTGCAATCATACAAATCAGACATAAATAAACCTACAATTAAAACATTTCGATTCAATAAAATTGTATTAGAAAGAAGGGTCAGTCAAAAGCAATTAAAACATTTTGAAAATCTAGAATCACAATATTTTCATAGAGACAGAGTGTAAGAATAACATACTTAATAAGTGTAATCAGAAAGAAATATCAAGTGTGCTTGTTACTTACTTCCAACATCTAGTCTGGTGCCGCTACCAAAAGTGTACCACTGTGATACAATCCCTATTACTGATCGTACAAAAACCTCCTGCCCATTGGGCAAGCTACATTTCTTTAGACTGTGGTTGAAATCATTGACTCTAATATGGTATGAATCCTTGCCAAAGATAATTTTATCTTGTTCATCTGAAATAAAGTGTTTTTTGTTTAGATTTCCCCCTTAAACTGCTAAACCTGTTTATTGAACATTTCCTACAAGGTGCAGTATGTTTATTCATACACCTAATCAAATGTAGGCTAATCACTCTCATCATAGAAAAATGCAGGTCAAATTTGATAAGATGTAATTGCGTTTATTTTCAAATTGGCCATAGTATGTGTAGGCCTAGTATATTTGTCCAGAAATCAACTAAATAATGTAAGTTAAAAAATCCTCAATATATTCGAGGATAAATTGATAGAGAAATTGAAACACAAGATCAAAAGGTGAATAAAACAGTTAATTTTGTTGTTTACTTACTTCCAACATCAAGTCTGGTGCCGCTACCAAAAGTCCACCACAGTGATACAATCCCTATTACTGCTGGTACAAAAACCTCTCTGTGTTGTGATGCTGCAGCTGTTACAGTGAAGATCACTCATACAGAATCATAATCAACACAAATACACTTTAACATCTTCCAGGTAGAACAAACACTTGATATAAGCTGTTTCTAGATAATACAAATATGAATTGCATCTTAAAACCAGATATTAGTATTTTTTCTTCCTTCTTCTGTGTATCAGATGTTCTCCTAGTCTGTAGGTATAGTCCAACATTAGATCCAGTGTTGCTAGTATTCCTCCATATTGTCCATATGAAAGACAACAGCAGCAGCAGTAGTGATAGTGATCCATGTTGTATATTCCTTTATTAAAGATGTTGATCTCAGATTTAACAGTGGTGATAAAGTCACAGAGGACAGACAACACTACCAGAGGAATCCTACCAGCTTTAGTTTAGAGAAGTGTTCACTAACTGATTAGAGGAACTTACATAAGAGACTAAGCATGAGTGAACAGACAGTTCATTATATCTGATCATCATCAGAATAAAACATAAATGGTGGTATCACATAAAAGTTGCATACATTAGTTATTTGAGTAAACATTTTGACGTTATTAAAGGGAAGGCAGGTAGCTAGCGTTTAGAGCGTTGGCCTAGTAACCAAAAGGTTGCTAGTTCAGATCCCCAGGCTGACACTGATTTGAAACAGACATTTGCATAATGCATCTGCCTCACTGCTCTAAGAGTGTTTATATCCCTGTGAGTTTAACACTTCATGACTGAGAGCTGTCCTTCATGACAACAGAACCCACAACAACCATGACTATTATCACCATCTTCATCTGGACACTTGCTTTCTGCTTTCAAGGTTACACTTTTCAGAATTTACTGTTGAAAAATAATTACATCTACACCATTGAAATGTATATCAATGTTAATATTTCTATTCAGAACAATTGATTACTATATGAAATATTTTATTCATAGAATTTTTTTATTATATGTTTCAGAATCCAGAGGACAGATCACTGTGACTCAGACTCCTGCAGTGAAATCTGTTCTCCCAGGACAGACAGTCATTATTGACTGTAAAACCAGCAGTGCTGTGTATCCTAACTGTGGTTCATCTTTGCCCTGTATGGCCTGGTACCAACAGAAACCTGGATCCATTCCCAAACTCCTTGTTTATCGAGGAAGTACTCTTAACTCTGGGACTCCATCTAGATTCAGTGGCAGCGGATCTGGGAGTGACTTCACTCTGACCATCAGTGGAGTCCAGGCTGAAGATGCAGGAGATTACTACTGTCAGAGTTTACACATTCCCAATAGTAAATATGTGTTCACACAGTGATACAGAGCCGTACAAAAACCTCCCTCAGTCAGACTGCTCAGTGACTGTACTGCTACAGCTGGGACCTACTGCAGGTGCTGAGGGGAGGAGACAATGATATGGAACACTGACTGAACTAAAATACACTGAGCTAAATATATCAGTGATGCTGACAATAATGTCAATTTATCCACCTTTATGTTAAAGCATTCCTGAACAACCATAGTTCCAGACTACTGTACATACAATTCTTTCCCTTTTGCTATGGCAAACATTTCAGATAATAAGTTGAATAGACTCCATCTATGTGAAATAATGTCTCACATTATTTCAGAGTTAATATCCCAGTCTCTGCAAGGTCCGCCAGTCAGGTAGTAAGTTTCAAGCAAAGATTCAACCATATTCACTGAGATGATATAACCTGAGGTTATGTCATACAAGAGACAGTGACACAGAAGACTGGTTAGTGAAGTCAACTTTGAATATGTTTAGAAAGCATCATTCAAATCACATGTTCCCCATCATCATCATTATTGTAGTGCACCTACAAAAGTTATTTGAAGTTCTGAAATACCCACAATACCAGTCCAATATGCGAAATAAAATGTACAGAAGTAAAGAAAAAGAAGGTGATGTTACATCAGCATCAGAACAACTAGATACAATCCCCATAAAGCACCTCACAACCAAATATTGATGTGATCATCTGGCATTATACTAACTATTTTGATGAGCAGGTTACTGACTGTTACATCTGTGGATAAGACATGATGCTGGGTTCAGGCATTAGACATATCTACATTATGTATAATATCCATTTTATCAGTCATAGATTACATGGTGGAATATCTGTTATTGTACCCTCCCTGAATCCACCATAGAGGTTAAAACCAGTCCCCTCCCTCACATCTGGCCAAGTCCAGGGTATTTCAGGCAGTGAAACTGTCCAACTACTAGACTGGTATCTGTGGGAGTGAAACTGAGATTTCCATAGACAGGGCTGGGTGGTTCTGCTTGTCCCAGAATAGAGCAGCACTGTCACCAGATATTCGCTCTGTTCCCAGGGGGTTGGAGGTACAGAAGACCAGGGGAAATATAATGGAGAAGGGTAGACTACGCAATGTTGAAAACCATTGCTAAAACATCAATATAATAAAATCATATTAGGAATTAAACATTATAAATACAGTGCATTTGGAAAGTATTCAGACCCCTTGAGTTTTTCCACATTTTGTTACGTTAAAACCTTATTCTAAAATTTATTACATTGTTTTTTTGTCCCAATCTACACACAATACCCCATAATGACAAAGCAAAAACTGATTTTTATACATTTTTGCAAATGTATATAAAACAAAACAAAGTAATACATTTACATAAGTATTCAGACCCTTTACTTTGTTGAAGCACCTTTAGCAGCGATTACAGCTTCGAGTCTTCTTGTGTATGACCACCCTGATGACCACCCTGATTGGTGGAGTGCTGCAGAGATGGTAGTCATCCTGTAAGGTTCTCCCATCTCCACAGAGAAGCTCTGGAGCTCTGTCAGAGTGACCATCAGGTTCTTGGTCACCTCCCTGACCAAGGCCCTTCTCCCCCAATTGCTCAGTTTGGCTGGGCAGCCAGCTCTAGGAAGAGTCTTGCTGGTCCAAACTTCTTCCATTTAAGAATGATGGAGGCCACTGTGTTCTTGGGGACCTTCAATGCTGCAGAAATGTTTTAGTACCCTTCCCCAGATCTGTGCCTCGACAATTCCTTCGACCTCATGGTTTTTGCTCTGACATGCACTGTCAACTGTAGGACCTTATATAGACAGGTGTGTGCCTTTCCAAATCATGTCCTACAATTGAATTTACCACAGGTGGACTCCTATGAAGTTGTAGAAACATCTCAAGGATGGTCAATTGAAACAGGATGCACCTGAGCTCAATGTCAAGTCTCAGAGCAACGGGTCTGAATACTTATTTAAATAAGGTATTTCTGTGTTTTATTTTTTATAAATTTGCAAACATTTCTAAAAACCTGTTTTCGCTTTGTCGTTATGGGGTAATATTAGAATAAGCAGTAACGTAACAAAATGTGGAAAAAGCACTACTGGGTGATCTGAAAAGTCATAGTCAATCGATCAATAATATAAAAATACTTTTGGCAAAAATGTTTATTTTCAAACAATGAGAATAGAAGGGTTCAGAACTTTTGTGAAACATCACAGTACAGTTGAAAAATATATGGCAAATAGAAATCCAATATGGATGGTGTTAAGAGATAGATGGGAGGTGTTGAATGGAGCTGAAAGATGGGACTAATAACAACTAACAACAACTAATATCAACAAGATAACTAATGTAAAGCATACTGTGTCCATAATAAGTATATAGGTTATAGGTTGAGTGCTTTTGTGAAAGAGCACAGTTAGAAAGATATGGCATATAGAAGCGAACCGGATGGACATCATGAAAATGATCGGAGAGGTTGAGGGTAGAGGAAGTTCAGGAGTAAAAACAAACAAAATAGAATTATTGTAAAATTGACTGTGTCCATAAAATGTATATAGTATGTATAAGTTGGAAGTAGAGGCCTAAGCGTTGTTGTTCACTAGTTTTCTCCAATTAGGGAAGGGGTGGTGGGGTTGGAAAGTAATAAAGGAAAATGTATTTTTTAAAATGATATGTATATAAATACAGTGGGGGAAAAAAGTATTTAGTCAGCCACCAATTGTGCAAGTTCTCCCACTTAAAAAGATGATAGAGGCCTGTAATTTTCATCATAGGTACACGTCAACGATGACAGACAAAATCAGAAACAATAATTAAGAAAATCACATTGTAGGATTTTTAATGAATTTATTTGCAAATTATGGTGGAAAATAAGTATTTGGTCAATAACAAAAGTTTCTCAATACTTTGTTATATACCCTTTGTTGGCAATGACACATGTCAAACGTTTTCTATAAGTCTTTACAAGGTTTTCACACACTGTTGCTGGTATTTTGGCCCATTCCTCCATGCAGATCTCCTCTAGAGCAGTGATGTTTTGGGGCTGTCGCTGGGCAACACAGACTTTCAACTCCCTCCAAAGATTTTCTATGGGGTTGAGATCTGGAGACTGGCTAGGCCACTCCAGGACCTTGAAATGCTTCTTACGAAGCCACTCCTTCGTTGCCCGGGCGGTGTGTTTGGGATCATTGTCATGCTGAAAGACCCAGCCACGTTTCATCTTCAATGCCCTTGCTGATGGAAGGAGGTTTTCACTCAAAATCTCACGATACATGGCCCCATTCATTCTTTCCTTTACACGGATCAGTCGT